GCCTTGCCCGGCGCCTTGGCGCCGTCGGCGGGCGCCTCGCCCGTGTCGAGGACGGCGAGCACGACGTCCCGCTCGCCGAGGTGCACCATGCGCGCGGTGTGCTCGCTTTTGATCGACTCGCCGTCGATGACGAACTTGTACGCGGCGCTCCGGCCCAGCGCGAGCTCGCGGCGCCGCGTGTACTCCCGGAACATGACGCCCAGCCGCTGGGTGCGGCGCAGCTTGAAAAACCTAGGGATTTCGGGGTCCGCGGGCGCGAGGGAGGGCAGGGGGGCGCCGGGGCGCGCATGTGCGGGGTCAGGCCGGCCTCCTTGACGCTGAAGGTGATGAACTCGTCGGAGGAGCTCGTCGACGCCCCCGCCGAGGGGCCCTTCGGCCCCGGCTGGGCCTCCGTCGCCGTCATGGCGTCGACGCGCCGGCAGACGCTGGCGCCGCCTTCGCTCGCCTGTGCAAAGAGCCTGCCGTCGACGCCAAAATTCATCATCGACACAGAGCACTCGCCGATGGCAAAATTGCCGTAGCGGGCCGATCGAGAGCAGCCAAGGCCGCCCGCGACCGCGTCTCGGCGCGCGCCGCGCGCGCCAGCTCCGCCCCTGTCGAGAGCACCGCAGCGACACCACGCGGACGCGCGCGCCGACATGGCCGGCATGGCCGAGGCCATCGACGGCATGGCGGGCATGAAGCTCGGGCCCGGCGCCGCGGGCAAGGGCGGCGCCGCGGCGGCGCCGTCCAAGGCCTGCAACCTCGCCGGGTCGGCCCTGGACCTCGAGGCGATCCGGAGCGACAACAAGCGGGAGCTGCTCGAGCTGCTCGACGGCGTGAGCGGCCGCAAGGCGCTGGTGCTCGACGCGGTCCTGGGCCAGCGGCTCAACCACGTGCTCAGCGAGGGCGCGAGCTCGCTCCGGGACCACGGCGTCGCCTACTTCCGGGAGCTGCGGCCGGAGCTCGGCACCTTCGACGGCGAGGCGCCGGAGCACGTCGTCTACCTCGCGCGCTGCACCGTCGCGTCCATGCTCACGATCGCGGGCCACGTCAAGGCCGCGCTCCGCCGCGGCGAGATCGGCGAGGCCTCCGTCGACGCGCCGCGCGCGCCCAAGTTCCACGTCTTCATGGTGCCGCGCACGACCCTGCTCTGCAAGCAGATCTTGGAGGACGAGCTCGTGCTGCCCTACGTGACGATCCAGGCGTACCACCTCGACTTCGTGTGCTTCGACAAGGACGTGCTGAGCCTCGAGTGCGACCACTGCTTCTGCGACTGGAACGTCCACGGCGACCCGACGACCCTGGAATTCGCGCTGGCCGCGCTGCTGCGCCTCGAGCAGTTCTTCGGCGCGCCGCGGCGGATCCAGGCCTTCGGCGAGGCGGGCAAGCGCGTCGCGAAGACGTACGCGATCGCGGACTGGAAGCTCGAGCAGACGCGGCTGCGGGAGCGGGGCTACTTCGGGGACCCCGACGAGCCGCCCATGTTCGGCGCGAAGCCGCCGCCCTACCTCTACGACGACTACGCGGACACGCGCGAGCGGCGCGACGTCGACACGCTCGTCATCCTCGACCGCCGCGTCGACCTCGTGACGCCCATGGTGACGCCCCTGACCTACGAGGGCCTCATCGACGAGCTCATGGGCGGCGTGCGGAACTCGTGCGTGCGCCTCGACGCCGACGTGCTCGGCGACGTCGACGAGCGGAAGGAGGGGGAGCCGCCCGCGAAGCCCGGCGCGGAGACGACGGTCGCCTACGCGTTGAATTCCAACGACGCGCTCTACGCCGAGGTGCGCGACCTGAACATCGAGAAATTGGGCGTGCACCTGCGGACGCGCGCGAAGGAGATCAAGGCCATCCAGGAGGAGTTCCGCGCGAACAAGGACGCGTCGATCACGGAGATCCACGACTTCGTGAAGCGCATCCCCGGGCTGTCGCAGAACTACAACTCCGTGAAGACGCACGTCAACGTGACGGAGGTCGTGAACAAGACGACGCACGGCCACGACTTCCGGGGGCGCTGGAACCTGGAGCGGCAGATGCTCGAGGGCGACGCGGTCTACGACGAGATCGAGGACCGCATCGCGCAGCAGGAGCCGCCCATGGCGACGCTCCGGCTGCTCTGTTTGCAGAGCCTCTGCGGCGGCGGCATCAAGGGCCAGGCCAAGTACGACTTCCTCCGGCGCGAGGTGCTCCAGACCTACGGCTTCGAGCTCATCGGCACGCTCTACCAGCTCGAGAAGGCGGGCCTCTTGTCCAAGGCCAAGGAGGGCACGGTGGCGACGAACCTGCTCCTGGGCGGCGCGGACGGCGCCGGGTCCTTCGCGCAGCTCCGCAAGGCCCTGAAGCTCATCGTCGACGACGTCGACCCGCACGACCCGCGCGACATCGCCTACGTGTCGTCGGGCTACGCGCCGCTGAGCTGCCGCCTCGTCGAGGTGCTCGCCAAGTCGGGCTTCGCGGGGCTCGTCAACGTGCTGCCGCACCTGCCCGCGGCGCCGCCGCTCGACTACGCGCCGCGCGACTACACGCGCGAGGACCTCAAGGACGCCTTCGACGGCGGCGGCGGCGCCAAGCTCGGCGCGAACCCGCACAAGCAGACGCGGCCGCCCCCGCCCGACGCGACGACGGGCCTCAAGCCCGTCATGGTCGTCTTCTTCGTCGGCGGCGTGACCTACGCGGAGATCGCGGCGCTCCGCTTCCTCTCGAAGCGCGACGACTTCCCCTTCCGCGTCGTCGTCGCCGCGACGAACGTCTGCAACGGGTCCACGCTCATCAAGTCCCTCGTCTACGAGATCGACAACAAGCTCCAGCGCGAGCCCGCGGGGCGGGAGGACCCCGCGCAGATCGACGCTCCGCCCTGAGGAGCCGCGCGGTAAGGGCGATCGCGCGACGCCGGGGTCCTTAGGCACGCGCGCTAGTCGTCGTCCTTGCCTGGCGCGACGGAGCCGCCGGCGGACCAGGCGGGGAGCTCGCGGCTCGCCTTGGTTTTGAACTCCGAGGACGTCGGCGCGGGCGTGCGCGCGGCGTCCTTCGCGTCCGCGGCGTCGTCCGCGCGGGGGATGGACGCGACGGCCGCGGCGACGTCGGCCTCGGGCGTCGACGACGGCCGGGGGCCCGGCGACGGCGGCGGCGGCGGCGGCGGCGCGGCCGCGGCCGCGAGCCCCTCGTCGAGGGACACGGTGTTCGTCGCGTCCGCGCGCAGCGCGGCGAGCACGGCGTCCCGCTGGCCCCGGCGGAAGACCCAGCCGCCGAGCGCGCGGTTCCACGACCCCTCGAGCGCCTTGAGCGTCGCCGTCACCGCCTTCGTGTCGCCGCGGACGACGATGGCCTTCTTGTGGGGCTCGATCGTCAGCGTCGCGTTGGCCTCGCCGCCCGCGGCGGCGGCGAGCGCGTCGTCCCGGGCCCGCTGGAGCGCGGCCTCGCGGTCCCGCGTCGCGCCCTCCGCGGCGGCCGCGACGGTGAGGTCGACGGGCGGGCTCGCGGACGCCTCGAGCGCCGCGACGGTCTTCTCCGCGGAGCCCGCGGCGAAGACCCAGGCCTTGAGCGGCTTCGACCACGTGCCCCCGAGGCTCGAGAGCAGCGACTTGGCCCGGAACGTGCCGCCGCCCGTGACGAGCACGCCCGCGGCGCCCGAGTCCTGGAGCACGAGCTCCGCGGCCTTGCCGCCCGCCTTCGCCTTCTTCGCCGGCGCGTCGCCGTCGTCCGCCGCCTTCTGCTTCTTCGCCGGCGCGGCGTCGGACGCCTCGGACGCCTTCTTCTTCTTCGCGCCGCCGGCCTCGGACGCCTTCTTCCTCGGCGGCGCCGCGGCCGGCGCCGGCGCCGCCTTCGGCTTGGGCTTGAGGAGCTCGGCCTTCTTCTCCTTGTACTCGGCCTCCGTCAAGATGCCCTCGTCGTAGAGGCCCTTCGTGTCGCGCAGCGCCTGGACGGTCTCGGGATCCATCGCGGGCGCGTGAGGTGGTGCTCGTCGGCGCAGTTGAACAGCCGCGCGTGGGTCGACGGTCGCTGTGGGTCGTCGATCGACGGCGCGCGGCGCGACGGTGCCGGCCGCCACGACTGGGACGTTCGCGCGAGCGCTCGCGGCCGCCGCAGCCCGTGTGTGCACAGCGGCAGCAGCAGCCCCGTCGTCGCCGTCCGCGCGCCATGGCGCCCGCGCAGCGGAAGAACGCGAAGAAGGCCGGCCGGGAGGTCGCCGAGAAGCCGAAGAAGCTGACGCCCGAGGAGCTCAAGGCCCAGGAGGAGCGGGAGGAGCGGGAGTTCGAGGAGTGGGCCGAGCAGTGGTGCGGCAAGCTCATCCGCTTCGTCATGGTCGCGTCGACGCTCTGGGGCTTCGCGGCGTCGGCGCTGGACTACGCCGCGCGGCCGCCCGTGCTCCTCGCGCCCCAGGACCTGCGGGAGCTCACCTACGTCGTCACGGGCGCGACGTCCGGCGTCGGCGCGGCCGCGGCCGAGGCGCTCGCGGCCCACGGCGCGCGCGTGCTGCTCGCCGCGCGCAACGTCAGCGCGGGCGACGTCGCCGCCGCGGCCATCGCGGCACGGACGGGCAACGCCGACGTCGAGGCGCGCTTCCTCGACCTCGCGGACCTGTCGAGCGCGGCCGCGTTCGCGCGGTCGCTGGGCTCCGAGGACGACGGCGTGAGCGGGCTGATCCACGCCGCCGGGGCCGCCGGCGACGCCTGCGACGCCACGGTCGACGGCTTCGAGCGCGCCACGCAGGTCAACTACGTGGGGCCCGCGCTCCTGTCGCTGCTCGCGCTGCCGCACCTCGACCGGAGCGGCGACGGCCGCGTCGTCTTCCTCGCCTGCCCGGCGGCGGCGTCCGCGGGCTCCTACGACGACGCGCTCCTCGACCTGCGAGCCTACGACCCGGACCCGCTCCGGCCGGCGGCCTGCGACGGCCGCGGCCGCTACGCGCGCGGCAAGATGCTCGCCGTCGCGCTCAACGACCAGCTCGGCGCGCGCGCGGCCATCAACGGCTTCCACGCCGTCGCGTCGCTCGCCCTGGACCCCGTCGGCGTCGACAGCCCCGGCTACGACGCCTACGCGGCGCCGCCGGCGCGCCGGCGCTTCGCGTTCGGGCCCCAGGTGCTCGTCCAGAAGGCGCTCGGCGTCGCGCTGGGGCCCGTGCTCCGGCCCCTGGGCCGGGCCCTCAAGGTCGGCCGCTGGACGCTGCGGTCCCCGGCGGAGGCCGCGCGGGGGGTCGCGCACCTCGCGACGTCCGCGGACCTGACGCGCGTCTCCGGCGCGCGCTTCTCGCTCGCCGCGGGCGCGCTCTCGCCCGGGGCGGGCTGCCAGGCGCCGTCGCCGGACCTCTGCGGTCGCGCGCCGCCGCTCCCCGACGGCTTCAAGGCCGACGCGGCGCGCGTCTTCGACGCGACCTACGACGCGCTCCTGCCCTACATCGAAGAACTCTAAGCGGGCCCGCGCGAGCCACGTGGCGCGGGGCCGTCGCGGACCGGGGCCCACGAGCGGGGACCGCGCCGGGCTCGCCCGGTCGTCGTCGGTCGCGTCGCCGCCGGCCGCGCGGGAATGCCTGCAGGAGAGACTCAGGAGGTCGGGTGGCGCCGAGCTCTCGGGAGAGGTACCTAGATCTACGAAGCGATCGCTGCCGTCCGCGTCGGCCGCGAGCGCGCCGTTCATGCGGCCGAGGAAGGGCGCACGCGTCGCGTCCGCGATGGCGCGCCACGCGTCCCGCGTCCGAGAGTCTCCCGCGCGAAGCCGCCCGCGGCGCAGGTCGCGGCGTCCAGCACGCACGCCTCATGCGAGGCGGCCCATGAGCGGGCCTCGCCACTCCTCGCCACCCCTGGTGCCAGCAGAGAGCCCGCGCCCGCCCAAGGTAGGCGCGTAGCGAGGTGCGCCGCCTATGCGCTCCACAGCTCTCGCCGGCGCGGGAGGCTGAGGGCGCGAGGGGCGACCGGGGCATTTCAGCGGAGTAATTTGCCGTGCGCCTCGAAGACGCGAGCCGCCCCGCCCGCTTCATCCTTATAGTGCCGCCCCGCGTCCCGACATGGTGACCAACACCTTCTCCCTCGCTCGACGGTTCGACCTGGCGCCCGGGCGACGAGCGAATCAAACGGCTCCGCCGTGCGCTCGTTATGGCCTCGCGGCGCGCCGTACCCCGCCCGCGCCCCCCGTCGGGGGGACGGGCAGACCCCGGCCACCGCCGGCCTGGGCGGCCGGCGGCGCGTGCCGCGCAGCCGGTCCGACGCCGTCCGACGCCCGACCGGTCTTTCCGCTCGACGACGAGGTCGCGCGCGCGAGAGAGAGACCCCGGGGTCGCCGCGCGCCGCGGCGCGTTGCGCACGCCTCGCCTGGCGCGGAGACCATCGCCGACACACGCGCGCGTCCGTCGATCGTCGCCGCGGAACACGTTCCCGACCCCGCAGCCGCCCGCAGGCATCGCGAGTTCAACCATGAAGATCTCCCCTGCGCTCCTCGTCTTCCCCCTGATCGTCGCCGCGGCGACGGAGTCCGTTACGGCCAAGTCACCGATCGAGAAGTTCGACGCCGGGAAGGGCGACCCGGTCTTTGAGGACCTCCTCCAACCGGCCGCGTGGCGCCGCGCGCTCAAACCAAGCAAGAGCAAGACGATCAAAACGCTCAAACCAAGCAAGAGCAAGACGATCAAAACTACTCCGCAAAACCGAATCAGCGCAATGCTCAAAAACCATCGCGTTCTGGGCAAAGTTTTTTCGAGGACTCAGCACGGTAGTACGCAAAACACCAAACATGGCGGCATCGCAAAGCCCGAGAAACGACGCGTGGGCCCAATTAACCGAAACCTATTATTCAACCAGTATGGTCTTGAGGAGTACGCTTTCGCCCAAAAGTCTCGCATGCCCACCTCGTGGCGTCTAGTATCCTCGCCATTTCGACAAGGCTCGCGTTGTATGGCCGCCAAGTATCGACATTGTGCTGGCTCGTGCATGTGGAACGACAGCAAATGCGAACGCGGGAGGCATAAGAATGATGCGTGCGAGGTCGACGAATGTTGCATGAACTGTTGGCCCATGGTCCAGAATATTGATCGGCGTACCTTGTCTAAATATTGGGACGACTTGGAAGATGAATGTCGCTCAAACGCACCATCCCGACATCTGGTCATGTTTGTAACGTTCGTATGTGGAACCACAGGCCCACGTCGTGCTATGAGCCCATTGAAGTATAAGGTCTGCTTGCAAAACCACCTCACAATATTTTCATACGAGCCCGTGTCTGACCTCGTGCAAATGGCGCCTTCGATGAACGTCATCGTACCTTACACCACTGTTGGTAAGGTGCGCCCCGTCTCGACATCCTTGAGGCCATGGCGGTACATGGGGTCGTTCCACGTGGCGAGGGGTAATCGGCTCAAGATCCGTACAGATCTAGCCGCTTATCTCAGGCGTCCAGGGCATCACCATTCGGGAACGAAGACTTGTGGGGGTCGAAGTAGCGTGAACGGGAGTGACGACTGCAACACGGCCACCGCTGATTTCTGCCTCGAACCACCAGGAGACACGCCGACACGGTCTCACTTCTACTTTGCAATTTCGCAAGGATGTTTACCTGTTGTCTTTGACTTCATGCATCCGCGATATCGATCCTCGACTCGCTGGGCGTGGCGCGACATTGCAAACCTATCAAGCTTTGCGGTGGTTGTCACTGATCCGAACGTAAGTGCCACCATCGAGCGCCTACTCTCGATGCCGGTCGACGAGATCATCGCACGCAAAGTCCGCCTCGCGAGTGTCCAGGACCTCTACGTGTACAAAGACCTTGGTCGTGATGCATTTCAAGCAGCGATTGACGTGTTTTTCAATAGGTCATTGCCATTTGCGTGATCCAGGAAGCACGACGCATATTGAACCTTGTGGAGCCTACCCCCCCCGAGTAAACGAGCGCCGCTCCCTTACGAGTCCCGGACGGAGCGGCCCTCGACGAGCGGGGACCGCGTCGGGCTCGCCCGGTCGTCGTCGGTCGGGTCGCCGTCGTCGGCCGGCGGGTCGCCGTCGCCCGCGACGGGCGCGCCGACGACCTTGGCCTCGCGGTCCGGGACGAGCTCGACGTCGAAGTCGTCGCCGGCGCCGGCGGCGACGCGCTCCGCGACGGCCGCGGTCGTCGCGTGCGAGGCGAGGTAGCCGAGGAGCGCGTGGAGCGCGGCCGCGGCCGCGAGGACGACGCAGCCCGGCCGCACGCGGACGGCGAGGCGGAGGCACGTCGCGTCGCCCTCGAGCGCCGCGTCGAAGAAGGCGCCCAGCACGCCGTCGACCTGCTTGCATCGCTTCTTCGCCAACGCGTCGACCAGATCGCCGAGCTGCGCGCCCGTCGCGACGACGGCGACGACGAAGACGTCGAGCGACGACCAGCCGTAGGTCACGTCGTTCGCCGCGGCGAGCCTCGCCTGCGCCGCCGGGCGCAGCGGCAGCGCCCAGAGCGCCGCGAGGATCGCGAGGTTCGCCAGCGGCACGAAAAAGGCGAAGACGAGCGTCAGCGCGGCGACGGCGCGCGCGCAGGGCCGCCAGCCGTCGTCGGGCGTCGCGTCCTCGAGGCCGAGCGCGAGGCCGAGCGCGTCGTAGTCGCGCGCGTCGGAGCCGCGGTCCGCGAGGTCCTGGAGGAGGCCCGCGGCGCCGCCGACGTCGAAGGTGAGAAACTCCATGGCCAGCCCCGCGCACAGGAGCGCCGCGACGGCGGCCGCCGCGGGCGCGACGCACCGCTGCCACACGCGCGGCGGCCGGCCCTTGAGCGCGTGCGCCGCGAGCGCCGCCGGCGCGCCGCCCGCGGTAGCGGCCGCGCCGTCGTGGACGCGGCGGTGGAGCGCGAGCAGGACCTGGCCGCAGAGCATGGACGTCACCGTCGCGAGGCAGAACGCGTAGAACGCGTAGCGCATCTCGACGAAGACCTGGGCGGGACAAGAGTGATTCAACGTCGCTTCAACGTGAGTGTTCCGCGCGCGCGCGTTCCGGAAATCACATCCACGCGTCGAGACCGCTCCGAGAGATGATCGCTCGTCCAAAGATCAGCCGAAACGAGTGGAAAACGGCCGAGATCGGAGCCTTTGAAGTTGGGAATTTCGCTCTCTTGTGCTGCCCCGACGAAGACGTCGAGCTCGAGGCTCGCGGTCCGCGCGTCGACCGCCACGCCCACGTGGCAGGCGACGACGAGCAGCACGACGATGAAGACGTCGATGAAGGACCACTTGCTGAGCATCTCCACGGTCTTGAACACGGACTCGCGCCGCGCGGGCGGAACGCCGCGCGCGCAGTAGCCCCAGAGCAGGCAGCCGAGCTCCGCGTAGGGCCACGCGCCGCTCAGCGCCGCGATGAGGATCGCGAGCGCGTAGCTCCTCGCGTCCCAGAGCTTGCCGACGGACTCGGCGAGGGAGAACTTGGAGCCCGCGTCGACCCAGAGCGTCTCGGCGCGCCCCGCGAGGTCGACGTTCACGCGCGCGCGGATCTCGGCCGCGAGCGCGACGTTCGACGTCGCGAGGAGCGCGCCGTTGCCCAGGAGGATGACCAGCAACGCGACTTTCAACGCTCCGGGCACGGGCGCGTCGGCCATGAGCGACCGGTGCCCGGCGTCCGCGCGCGGCTCCGGGCGCTTCCCCTCCGCCTTGGCCCGGCGCCGCGCCCAGATGGCGCCGAAGCCCAGGAGCATGGTCCCGAGCAGCCCCAGAATCGACGCGAACCCGAGGAGCGCCGCCTCCTCGCCGTCGACGCCGCTGGGGTCGTTCGCCGCCGCCGCCGCGGGCCGGTCGCCGCGCGCGTCGACGCGCGGCGCGACTCCCGCGCCGGGCCGCTTCCGGACGCACGTCCGCTTCGACCGCGCGAGGAAGTCGTGGAAGGCGTCGTTGGCCAGCCACAGCGCCTCGCGCCGCGCGGCCGCCGGGTCCACGTAGCGCCCGACGACGGCGACGGCGGCGCCGACGGCGTCCTCGACGAGCTCCGCGGCGCCCGGCGTCGCGGACGCGGCCCGCGCGGCCGCGCGGCCGACGCGGAGCTTCGCGCGCTGTAGGCCCGCGCCGCCGAGCGTCCCGAGGAGGCACTGCCACGCGAGGTCGCCCGAGGCGTCGAAGAGCTCGTCGAGGCCCACGTCCGCGCCGCGCAGCCCGTCGAAGGCCGCGCCGTCGACGACGACGCGCGCCGTCGCCGCGTCGACGGCTAACCGCGAGAACGTGCCGTTGAGCGCGACGGTCGCGCCCCCAAAGGGCGTGTCGAAGGTCAGCGTCGCGCCGCCGACGACGGGGCCCCGGCCGAAGCCCGCGCGCAGCGACAGGAGCTCGACGGTCGTCGCGTCCAAGAGCGAGTCGGCGCCGCGCGGGAACGCGCGGACGTCGTCGATTGACGCCGCGTTCGCGAGGAAGACGTCGGACACGGCGACGGCGGACCGCAGGGGGCCGATCGCGACGCGCGCGCCGCGGCGCGAGAGGACGACGCGGCCGTCGCCGCCCGCGAGGCTCTCCGCGAAGCCGCGGAGGGGCCCCGCGAGCTGGAGGCCCCTGGCCGCGTCCGCGGCGCTTCGAAGCAGCCCGGACGCGTCGAGCGCAATTTGCGCCGGCGGCGCCGCGGCGGCCCGGGCCGCCGCGCATTTCGCGCGGCTCCGCGCCGCGCGCGCGGGCTCCGGCTCTGACGCGGCCGCCGCGCGGCGGAGCGCGCGCGTGAGCGCGGGCGCGGCGTTCGCGGCGATGGCCGCGCGCGCGGCGCAGGCCGCGAACCTGTTGAACCCGCCGTCGACGAGCGCCGCGGCCGCGGGCGCGACCTCGGCCGCCAGCGCCGCCTCCAGCGCGCCGCCCGGCGCCGCGGCCGAGGCCGCGAAGGCCGCGCCGTCGAGCGCCAGCGCCGCGTCCCCGAAGTCGAGCGACACCGCGTCGACGCGCGCGTCCGCGACGCGGAGCGCGTCGCGCGCGCAGGCCGCGTCCGCCGCGCCGCCGAGCTCGAAGGCCGCGACGCCCGCCCTCGTCGCGTCCGCGGTCATGGCGACCGCGGCCGCCGCGTCGACGGCGACGTTTGTGATGGTTGTGTTTGCATCAAGATCATAGGCGAGCGGCGGGCTCGCGAGGCCCTGGACGAACGTCCGCGTTCCCAGCGTAGCGCCGCCGCGGACGTCCACGCGCAGGGCCAGGGCCAGGGCCAGCGGCTCGCCGACGGCCGCGCCGAACGCGACCGTCTCGGCCGTCGTCGCCGGCGTCTTCGCGAAGGCGTCGAGCCGCGCGCGCGGCACGTCCGCGAGCGCGCCCGACGCGGCCGTCAGCGACGCGTCGGCGACGGACACCGCGAGCCGCGCCCGCTCCGGGCCCGCGCCGCCGACCGTGGCGACGCTGAGGCCGCCGAGGTCCAGCGCCTCTTCCGACGCGAGCGGCAGGCCCAGCCGCGCGCCGACGTCCAGGAGCAGCCCGAAGAGGTCGCCGCCTTCGAACCGGCGGCCCCGGCGCAGGCGGTTCGCGGCGCGCGCGACCGCCGCGCCGGGGCCCGTCCCGTTCGCGAGGAGGTGCGCCCAGTCCACGTAGGCGGGCGCCGCGTCGAACGTTTCCGCGAGGGCCCGCGCGGCGTCGGGGTCTCCGGCGCGGCGCCCGCCTCGCACGACGGCGAGATGCCGGTCAGGTCCGCGGAGACGGCGCCGGCCAAAGCGGCGCAGATCGCGTCCGCGATCTGCTCGTCGTAGAAGCCGACGATGGCGTCCGTGAAGCCGTCGAGCAGGCTCCCCAAAGCGTCGCCCCGGAGCTTCACGCCGTCGAGCGTCACCGCGGCGTCGCACGCGCCGATCGCGAGCGTCGTCGGCGCGCCGCGGCCGTCGGCGCCGAAGTCGAGGCGGACGTCCAGGGCCGCGTCCCTGAGGTCGCCGGTCACGCGCCCGTCGCCGGAGACCTTCTGCCCGAAGATGCTGTAGCTCCACTCGTACTTGCCCTCGCACTCGGCCTCGACGCCCGCGACGGTCGCGCGCAAAGCGCGCGGCGCCTCGTAGGCGGCCGCGAGCGCGCCCGTGATCTTCAGGTCTTCGCAGGTCAGGTCCGTGATCTCCAGCGACGTGCCGGCGATCGTCGTCTCGAAATCGACGCCCGGGTCCAGGGTCATCGCCCCGAGCCATTCCTCGAGCGTCGACGCGCGCTCCAGGGACGCGGCGGCGAACGCCGAGAGCGCGACGACGAGACGCACGCGCGGCATGCGCATGGCGGGCTAGGCCTCGCGAGGGGCGCCTGCAAGCGAATTTCGGAGGTACTACGTAGTATGTCGTCACACTTCAGCCGGATTTTTGCTCGGTTCCCGGCGCCGCGCATGACAATCGCCGATCGATGCTGGCAGTCGTCGGCGGGCACTGGCGGCAGGTACATCGAGCTCGCGACATGCTACGCGACAACAAGTCGGCCAAAATCCAAGACTAAAACCAGACCCGCCAGGTCGACTGTCATGAAGACCGAACAGTGGGTCCACCTGCTTCCGTTCATGCCGAAGCACGGCACCCGAGGGAGACGAGGGAGAACCAAAGGTGCCGGGACCGCGGGTCCACCTGCTTGACGTTCATGAATGTCTAGCACCGTGGCAGTCAACTCGAGCAGCTTAAGGACCCGCGCTCACTCGTCGCACGGCGTCTTCCGCATGCGCGCGGCCCACGCGTCGGCCGCGGGAGGCGGCGGCGCGTCGTCCGAGAGGGCCGCGTGGCCCGCGCCCTGGAAGGGCAGCGCCCAGGGCGGCGGCGGGAGCTTGCCCTTGGGCTTCGGCGGCGCCGCGTCGCCGTCGCGCGGCCGGTCGTCCGCGGCGGCGCCGTCGCGCGGCGCGGCGGCGTCGTCGTCGACCGCGTCCCAGTGGCCCTTGGGCATGGGCCGCGACGACGGGGCCTCCCAGTCGTAGGTCGACGCCGGGTGCGCGTAGAGCGCCTCGACGCAGGCGCGGTCGTCGTCGCCGTCGGCCTCGTCGTCCGCGTCGAGGTGGTCGTCGCGGACGTAGACGCCCGCGCCGCGGACGTGGCGGTGCTTGTAGAGGAGCTCGGCGACGGCGCGCCGCGCCTCGGGCGTGTGGCCGTGGAGCGGGTCGCGCACGGCCGGGTCGCTCAGGTCCTCGTCGTCGCTCACGTCGGCCTCGCCCGCGGCGCGGCGCGCCGCGCGCGCCGCGCGGACGTCGCGCCACCGCGCGGCCTCGGCCGCGGCGCGGTGCGCGGCGAACTTGTCGGCGGAGGCGCAGAGATCCTTGAGGCGGTCGACCTCGGCCTCGAGGCGCGCCTTGATGATGCTCAGGTAGTGCTGCTCGGCCTCCTCGGTCATCGACCCGTCGTCCGGCCCCATGCCCTCGGGGAGCGCCTCGGCCTCGGACTCCGTCTCGTCGTCCCAGCACGTCTCGACGGCGAGCTGGGCGAGCTCGCGGTCGTGGGCGAGCCTGGCGCGCTCGCGGCACGCGGCCTTGGTCCGCGCGTCGAGGCCGTCGTCCGCGGCCGCGGGCCGAGGCGGCGGCGCGGCCTGGGCGACGTCGCGGTCGCCGCGGCGCTTCTTGGCGGCGTGGAGCGTCGCCTTGGGGTCGCCGGCGGCGTGGCGGCGGAAGAGCTCGGCGACGTAGCTCCGGATCTTCGCCGTCGCCTGGTCCCGGAGGTCGCGCATCTCGAACTTGGGCTTGTCGGCCTTCTTCGACGGCGCGCGGGGCCGGTCGGACTTGGCGCGGGACCGCGCGCGCGGCGCGGCCTTGCCGTCCTTCTTCTCCTTGGGGATCTGGGACACGGACATCTTGGGCGCCTTGGCGCGCTTCGAGAGGATGGGCACGTCGTCCTCGGGCTCGGGCTCGGGCTCGGGCTCGGGCTCGGGCTCCGGCGGCGGCGCCGGCGGCGGCGCCTCGGCCTTGGCCTCCTCGGCCTTCTTCTTCTTCTTGCCGCCGCCGCGCTTCTTCTTCGGCGGCGGGCCCGCGGCCGCGGCCGCGGCGACGTCCGCCGCGCCGACGGGCGCCCACGTCATGCCGCCGACGCCGTTCGCCGGCGGCGGCGGCGCCTTGGGGCTCTCGGCCTTGGCCTTGCGCCGCTTCTTCGGCGGCGGCCGCTCCTCGGGCTCGCCGGAGGGCTCGGGCCGGCCCGCGGCCGTCGCGCGCCGCGGCGCCGCCCGCGTCGCGCTCGTCGGGCCCCGTCGTCGGCCCGCCGGCGAGGAAGACGGCCGTGGACCGCGCCGCGGGCCGCTCGTCGTCGGACGACGACGCGTCGTCGCTGTCGCCGCCGCCGGCCGCGCCGCCGCGCGCGGCCGCGAGGCGCGCGCCCGCGGCCGCGTAGGCCGCGTCCTCGTCGCCGCCGCCGCGGCGCTTCGCGAGCTCCGCGCGGGCCTTGGCCGCCTCGTCGACGGCGGCGTCGTGGAGCTCGCGGTCCTTGGGCTTCTTCGGCGGCGCGGCGTCGTAGGCGGCAAACGCCGCGTCGGGCTCCGTCTGCTCGAGGCGCACCCAGCCGACCTCGTGCGTGCCCAGGTACTCGAGCAGCGCGAAGCCCCGGTCCCGGCTCTTGGCCGCCCGCGCGCCCGCGCCATGCGGCGCGAGCTTGTCCGCGACGTCCGGTGCCATGCGGCCGAGGTTCGCGCGCGTCGCGCTGTCGCTGAAGCAGCAGCCCCCCAGGCCGAGCACGAGCGCGGGCCACCAGGCGCCGCCGGCCTTGGCCCACCGCAGCTCCGTCGCCGCGCACCAGGACAGCGACAGCTCCGTGCCGCGCCGCGCGCGCTCCGCGCACCGGAGGAGCAGCCGCGCCTCGAGCGCGTCGTAGCCCGCGCTCGACCGGCCGCCGAGGTCCGCCCTCGCGGCGCCGAGCACGGCCTCGACGTCCGGGTCGCCGGCGCAGAGCGCCGCGGCGCCGCCGCAGCCCTCGCGCGCGAACGCCTCGCCGCACTCCCGGCGCTCGCGCGCCGTCAACTTCTCGCCGCCGGCGACGCGGAGGAACCGGTCGCGCCAGCGCGCCGCGGCGAGGCGCGCGTCCTCCGCCGCCGCGCGGCTCGACGCGATCCTACGGAAAAGCGGGGGGTTTTTGCGAGGGCGGGGGTTCCGCGGCCGGACGCCGGCGCCGCGCGGCGTGAGCGGTTCCGCGACGACGCGCGCCCACATCTCGTCGAAGTGCGTCCGCAGGTGCCGGGCGAGCTCGCGGTACTGCGGCGACTGCTCGTTGAAGCGCTCGCCTACGATGGAAACGGCGTCGGCGCCCCGCGCGCGGCGGCGGCGCCGCGGCGGTTCCGCGGCGCGAGATGCGGGCGCCGCGCGCGCGCAGTTGAGGAAGACGCGCCGCACGCGCCGGGCGCAGCGCTCCGCGCTCACCTGCGCACGGGGGGCGGGGCGTGGGCGGCGCCGGGGGCGCGGTGCTGCGGCGCCGCGCGCGCGCGAGGCCGTCGCCCGAGTAGTCGCCGCGCGCCGCGCGGCGCGCGACGGCGTTGAGGTCCAGGGGCCGCTCGATGATCTCGCCGTAGACCTGCGGCGGCGCGCGGGTCGCGCGGTGCGCGACGGCGGGCGGTGTGCGGTAGGAAGGCGGCGCCGGTCGCGCGCCTCGGCGACCTCGGGGTAGGCCTCGGCGACGGGGCGCAGGAAGAGCTCGATGCTCGGGTGGGCGAGCAGCTCGAAGAGCACAGACTCGATTAAGGGGCCCGCGTCCGCCATGCCGCTCCGGGGGCGGGGGCGCAACCGGGGTCTAATCGGAAATTAAATTGCCGCTAGCGAGATTATAACATCGATGGCAGCAGTCGTAGGCAACCCATCAGCGACCTCGGCAGCATCAGCCTCGCGCTTCACAAGCGACGTCAACATGCGGGCTGCAACTTCGGGCAGCCCCGCACGATGGCTAGCATAATATTATTCCTCGTTTGATGGACCCGGCGGCCCTCTACCTCATCCTCGCCGCGCACCTCTCGTCCGTCGACGTCGAACAGCGGCTGCTCGCGCGCGCCGCGCGGTGGCGCGCCGTCCGCAACGCGACCTGCATCGTCGTCGGCAACGCGCCCGCCGGCGGCGACGGCGCGCTCCGAGCACTCGTCGGCGCCTCCGGCTGCGAGTACGCGCGGAACCCGGACTACCCGGCGCGGGGCTTCGAGATCGGCGCGTACCGCCACGGCGCGGCGCTGCTCGAAGCGCGCGCGCCCGGCGACGGCGTCGCGCTCTTCGCGCAGGACTCCCTCGAGCTCGAGGCGCCCGGCGCCTTCGACGCGGCGCTCCGGCGCTGGAGCGGCCGCGCGACGTGCCTGCTCGCGTTCCCCAAAAGGGTCGCGTGGAACGCCGGCATCCGCGCGCGGCTCGAGGCGTGGCTCCCGGCCTACGACGACGACGCGGCCTGGGCGGGCTGCACGTTCAACAGCTTCGTCGCGCGCGTCGCCGACGTCGCGGACCTCGCCGCCGCGGGCTTCTTCGAGCCCGTCGCCACGAACCGGGCCGACTCCGGCGCGCTCGAGCGCTACTTCGGCTACGCGCTCGCCGCGCGGTCCCCGCGCGAGCCGCCGCTCTGCGGCCGCGACCTCGCGGGCAAGTGCGGCCTCGCCAAGGCCCACCTCTGGCGGCCCGCGCGCTAACGTTGTTATTGGGGGGGGCCGCCTCCGAACGCCGAACATGGTTAGATGCGCAAATGTTCCAGAGCGCGCCCGCCCCGCGCGGCGTCGAGGACCTCCGCGGCCGCGCGCGCGCCCGAGAGGAGCGCGCCGGCCATGGACCCCTGGTACTCGACGGACGTGGCCTCGCCGGCGAAGAAGAGGCGCCCGTCGACGGGCGCGGCGAGGTCGTCGACGTCCGCGTCGCCCGCGCCCGCGGGCCAGAACGAGTACGCGCCCCGGGCGTCCGGGTCGTTCGTCCAGTCCGTTGTGTACGCGGCGACGGGCGGCGGCGGCGCCTCGCCCGTGGCCCGCTCGAGCGCCGCGAGCACGCGCGCGACGCGGCGGCCGTGGCGCGCGGCGTCGCACGCGCGCGCCGCGTCGCCCGCGAAGGTCGCCTCGAGCGCGCAGTCGTCCGAGCCGTCGTCGAAGCAGACGACGACGTCGTCGCCGTCCTCGAGCACGAGGAACCCGGGGGCGACGTCGCCGTCGCCGTCGCGCCACCAGCGCCGCTCGAAGCGCAGGAGCACCTTCGCGTAGGCGCCGACGCCGAGGCGCGCGATGGCGCGCGCCTTCGCCGCCGGCAGGGGCGGGTCGAAGGCCGGGGGCGCGTCCCGGAGCACGCCGAGCGGCAGCGCGACGACGCAGCGTTGGCACGCGTACGCGTCGCCGCCGAGCGTCTCGACGCGGACGCCCGCCGCGCCGGTCAAACGCACGGCGACGCAGCGGCGGCCGAGGAGCTTCGCCGAATCGGGCACGGCCGCGACGAGGGGCGCCAAAACGCCGCGCATGCCCCCCCGCGGCAGGCCGTGCGCGCCGGGGAAGTCGCCGCAGAGCGCGTCGTCGTCGGCCTGGGCCTCGAACTCGCGGAGCTGGAGCTCGCGCGCGGACGCGCCCATCCAGAGCTCCATCATCGTCGCGTGCGCCCGCGCGACGAAGGCGGCCGCGCCGGCCGCGCCGCCGTAGTCGAGCGCGCCGGCGAGCGTCGCCGCCGCGTCGCCCGCGGCGACGGCCGCGGCCGCGCGCGCCTCGACGCGCCGCGTCGCCGCGGCGTGGAGCGCGCCGCCCGCCGCGACGTCCGCGGCGCCGACGCGCGCGCCGCACCGGTAGAAGGCCGCGCGGCTCCGGAAGACCGCGGGCCGGCACCACGGGTTCGCGGGGAACGTCTCGGAGACGGCGACGCCCGCGGCGGCCGCGAGCGCGAGTTGCGGGTTCGCCGGCGACGCGCCGTGGACCCAGGCCGCGCCGGCGTCGTGGTGCTCGGCGCCGGCGAAGCCGCGCACGCGGCCGCCGAGGAAGGCCTTCGACTCGACGATGGCGCAGCGCAGGTCCTGCGCGCGGAGCGCCTCGTAGCACGCGAGGCCGGCGCAGCCGCCGCCGAGGATGAGCACGTCGTAGTCGGCGGCGATGCGCTGGCTCCCGACGTGCGCCGCCATAGTCAGGGTCTCACAGCTCTCACAGCTCCATGCTTTTGCCCCGCTTGAAGTTTTTAGCGACTCGGTATGTTGCACTGCAAGCAGTGGTATTTTATCATTTTGCGCCGCGCTATCGGCAGCCTCGGCGCCTCGCGGCGCGCGCGCCTGCGACAAATGGCGCCGCCGCCGGCCGCGCGGCGGCGGCGCCTGAGCGACAGCGACCTGACGTGCGCGGCGACGAAGCGGCGCTTCGCGGCGCTGGACATCTACGCCAAGGCGACGGCGACGTCGGCGGGCCGGTCGCGCCACGAGCTCGTGCGCCTCGGCGAGCTCAAGCCGGCGCGGCGCCACAGCTTCGACTGGCTCCAGTTCTGCCGCGACGGCGACCGGCGCCCCGTCGCGCGGCCGCCGCTCACGCTCTTCCACGAGCTCCGGTGCTTCTACGACCCCGAGTACCGGCCAGGGCAGGCAAGGGTGATTCAACGTCGCTTCAACGTGGGTGTTCCGCGCGCGCGCGTTCTGGGAAAAGCATCCACGCTTCGAGACCGTTCCGAGAGATGATCGCTCGTCCAAAAATCAGCCGAAACGAGTGGAAACTGACCGAGATAGGAGCCTTTGAAGTTGGGAATTTCGCACTCTTGTCCTGCCCAGGTACCGGCTCTTCCAGGTCCGGGAGCACCTCAAGGAGGTCATGCGGGGCCGCGACATGGGCACGAAGGCCCTCTTCGACAGCATCGACGGCGACGGCAGCGGCGAGATCTCGCGGGAGGAGCTCGGCGAGGCCATGCGGACCATCGGCGTCCACGTGAAGGCGACCGACGTCGACGCGCTCATGGACCAGATCGACGCCGACGGCAGCGGCGCCGTCGACATGGACGAGTTCCACAACTGGCTCTTCGGCACGGAAGGTCAGTGGCTCGGCAAGCTCCGAAGGTGCGACGCGCGGGACCCGCAGAACAACGCGCGCCTCATGCGCCGCGAGATGCTCCGCTTCGACCCGACGGTCCGCGAGCTGCTCCGGGGCTTCTGGGTCCTGTCCGACGCGGACGGCTCCGGGTCCATCGACCGCGAGGAGTACATGGATCTCCATCTGCACCTCTACGCGGCCATGAACGTCGAGGTGACGCGCGCCGCGGACGCGCTCGAGGAGGGGTTGCGCGGCAAAGACGGCTGGAAGGAGGCCGCGCGCGCGATCGCGGCGCGCGAGTGGGAGTTCGACGCCCAGGGGCGCGACTTCCTCGACGAGCACCTCTTCGGCGTGTCCCTCTTCCAGCTCGTCGACGCCTGGGGCGGCGACGCGCCCGACAAGACCGCGTCCGTCCTCGCGAAGTTCCTCTGCTTTCTGATGGACCGGCTGAGCGAGATCGACGACGACCGCGACGCCGTCGTCTTCAAGTGGGCCGACGAGAACGAGGACTGGCTCGACGAGCTCAAGCCCATCCAGGACGTCCTCGGGTCCATCGAGGACTTGGACACGTGCCTCGAAAACGGCGCGCGGAAGCTCCAGTACCTCGTGCCCCTCGGCGGCGACGACTGGACGGGCAGCGACCTCGACGCGTCGTCGGAGTCGTCGGGCGACGAGTGCCCCGAGGCGTCGAGCGACGGCGAGAGCCGCGACTTCGTGCCCGCCGCGTCCCGCGGCGAAGCGGCCGCGGCCGCGCCCGCGGGCTTCGCGGCCGAGGCCGGCGCCGTGAACGCGCGCGGCCAGCGCGTCGTCCACCGCGCCATGGGCGGCAAGAAGAAGCTCTTCAACAAGACGAGCCGCAAGAGCCTCGACGCCATCGGCGGCATGCTCGGCATCTCGCCCGGCCAGCTCCAGGCCGCCGCCGAGGAGGCGAACCGCGCCAAGGAGGCGGAGCGGCGCGAGAGGGACGCGGCCAAGGCCGCGAAGCTCGAGGCGAAGCGGCCGCCGGCGACGCCGCCGACGTCGCCGCCGCCCGCCGCCGGGAAGAAGACGCCGGAGAAGAAGAAGGACGTCGCCCGGCGCCGCCGGAGCTCCGTCGCGGGGCCGAAGCGGAGGGACCCGGAGCCGCCGTCGCCGGGCGCGCTCGCGGCGGCCGCCGCGGGCGTCGTCGGCGCCATCGAGGCGCCGCTCTCCGCCGCGGAGGTCGACGCCGCCGTCGAGGAGGCGCCCCTGTCGCCGGAGGAGGTCGCGGCGGTCCTCGAGCTCCGCCGGTCGCGCGGCAGCGGCGACCTCGACGACGGCCCGCCCGCGCTCGCGCGCCGCGCGTCCCTCGACGCGCTGAGCGCCGACGAGCGGCAGCAGATCGTCGCGACGCGGCGCCGGTCGCTCGCGTCCGGCGACGTGCCCAACGCGACGCTCGCCGAGGCGCTGACGCGGCGCCGGTCGCTCGCGTCCGGCGACGTGCCCGACGCGACTTTGGCCGAGGCGCTGACGCGGCGCCGGTCGCTGTCGTCGTCGGGGCGGCGCCGGAGCGTCGACGACGAGGCGCTGTCGTCCGCGGAGATCGACGCCGTGATGGCGAGCCGCCGCGCGTCGCGCGCGTCGCGGGGCAGCGGCGATCTCGGGGACGAGCCGCCCCCCTTGGAGCGGCGCGCGTCCGTCGCGGACCTCAGCGCGGAGGAGCTCCAGGAGGTCATGAGCCAGCGGCGCAAGTCCCTGAGTCTGACGGACCGGCCCCGCGTCTCGGAGCGGCGCGCGTCGCTGAGCCTCCAGGACCTCACGGGCGGCTCCACCGAGCTCACGGACGCGGAGGTCGACGCGATCGCCGCGCACCGCCGCGCGTCCCGCGGCAGCGCGGACCTGCCGCCGCTCGCGCGGCGCGCGTCCATCGAGGACCTGAGCGCCGAGGAGGTCGGCGCCATCATGGCGAGCCGCCGCGCGTCCTTCCAGTTCGCGTCGGGCCCGTCGAGCCGGGCCACGAGCCGGCGGACGAGCGAGACGTCCGACCGCACGCCGCTCGAGGACGACGAGCTCGAAGACGACGGCGCGCCGCCGGCGCCCGGGAGCCGGCGGAGCTCCTTCGGCGAGCGGCGGGGGTCCTTCGGCGAGCGGCGCGGGTCCCTGAGCCGCCGCGCGTCGCGGAGCTCCGCGGGCGACGATTTCCTGGGCGCGGAGCTCGGCCGGCGGCGGCGGAGCGAGATGAGCGGGTCGATCCTGATCAACGACCTGGAGAAAGGCGACGACGCGTCCTACGCGCGGCAGGACCTGCTGCCCTTCGAGGCCGCGGGCCTGCTCGAGGAGCTCCTGGAGGACCGCCTCGCGGACGACGACGACGCGGGTTTGGGCGAGCGGCGCACGCGGCAGCAGCTCCTCGCGGAGCTCTCGCGGCGGGGGCTCGGGGGCGAGTCGACGCCGGACTACGACGAGACGCCCGAGGAGCGGTCCCTGCGGCTGGGCCTCGCGAGCGGCGCGGAGACGCCCGCGTCGCTCGCGCGGTCGTTGCAGGACCTCGACGGCGACGACGCGCCCGGCGCCGCGTACGCGGAGGCGCTCGGGGACCTGGACCGGCGCCTGACGGAGTTGAAGCAGCGGCTCCGCGGCGGCGACGTGAGCGTCGAGGCGGAGATCGGCGCCGTCGAGGCGCGCGTGCGCGAGACGCGGCGCAAGGTCGAGGCGTCGCGGTCCGTCGCCGCGCTCGAGCGCGCCATCGTCGCGATGATGCCGCGCCTCGCGGACCTGCGGAGCCGCGTCGCCGCCGGCGAGCTCGACTGCGAGGACGAGTACCGCGAGCTCGAGGCGCGCGTGCGCGAGGCGACGACGCGCCTGTCGACGTCCGCGCCCGAGGTCGCGGCCGACCGAGCGTTGCGGAAGATGAAGAAGCGGCTCGCGCAGCTGCGGTCGCGGGACCAGGCGTCGGACGCCGACGAGGTCGCCGAGCTGGAGCGCCGCGTCGCCGCCGCGGAGCGCGAGCTGCGCATGGAGTCCCTCGGGCGCATCCACAGCCCCGTGGACAAGCGGCCGACGCAGTTTCCCGCGCTCGAGGACGTCGGCCTGACGTTCGCCACGGAGAACGCGCTCCGGCCGCGGACGCTCCGCCTCACGGGCGACGGCCTCGCGGAGCCCGACTTCGAGTTCTCCAAAAGGTACGACGCCTTCGACCGGAGCCGCGAGCCGGGCCGGCCGGGCTGGGCCAAGGCGCTCTACGCGTCTCTCGCGGGCGCGCGCGACCCCTTCGGGCGGCGCAACGCGAAGCGGCGGGGCCAGTACTTGCGGGACCACGGCATCGCGACCTACGGCGCGCGCGGCGCCGCGTCCGTCGCCGCGCCGCCGCCGCCGGACGACGACGACGCGGCGACGCTCGACTGCGGCGACTCGTACCGCGACACGCTCGAATCCCGCGGCGACCACTCGACGCTGGCGACGCCCGCGAGCCGCGAGGCGGCCTGGCCCGACGCCGCGTGGAACCGGGTCACCGTGTCCGTGCCCGACGCGGCGCCGCGGCCGCGGACCGCGCCCGCGGAGGGCAGCCTCTGGGGCGCGTCGGCCGCGTCGTCGCACCCGAAGCTGCGGGGCGACTCCGTCTACGTCGGCTCGCCGCGCCTCGCGCCCCTCGCGCGCGACGCGCTCGAGAGGGCCGCGCGGAGCCTCGCGCCCGAGGACTCGGCCGCGGCGCTCACGGCGATGACGTCCGTCGCGCGGCCGTCGGCGACGGTGACGGCGCTCCAGCGGCCGGCGAGCTCGCCGGGCACGTCGCGGTCGCGGAGCCTCATCCAGTCGTCGGCCGCGGGCGCCTACGTCGGCGGCCCGGGCGCGGGCCACCTCTTCCTGCCGGACAAGGACCATCGGAGCCCCTGCCACTACCTCTACTCGGGGAAGAAGCGGACGCCGTCCTGGATGCTGCGGCTGCCGTCGCCGGCGCTCCGCGGCGGCGACGACCTCTTCGTCGCGTCGGAGCCCCGCGCGCGCGGCTCGGGGTTCTCCATCGCGTCGTCGTCCGCGTCGTCGCGGCACAGCGCGCTGTTCCGCGCGTCCGTCACCCTGTCGAGGAAGCGGTCCCTCGTCACGCGCCACTCTGGCGATTGGTCCCGCTAAGTTTCTGTTATATGCGCCACGGCCACGCGGCCGCCGCCGCCGTAGTCCGCGACGACGACGGGGAGTGTTGTTGTATGCATCTCGCCAAAGCCCGCGAACGCGGCCGCGGCCCCGCCCTCAGCGGTCACGACGGGCTTCCCGTAGCGGTCCGCGATGACGGCGCTCGCTCGCTCGGGGTCGACGACTCCGCCTATTGACCAGAGGAACGCGTCCGCCGTCCGGTTGAGCGCGTCGAGCTGCGCCCAGTCGCCCCACGGGAGCCGCGGACTGACGCCCTCGTAGCAGACGACGAGGCCGTAGGTCCGGCCTTTGATGGGGACGGTCGTCGGCGCGAAGGGGCCGGGCGAGAACCAGACGCGCTCCGTCACGAAGAGGCCGCGCTTGTCGTAGTGGGCCAGGGTCCGGCCGTCGCGGCCGTAGACGACCTCGGCGATGCGCCGCGTGCCGTTGAGCAAGCTCACGAAGATGGACGCGGCGACGGCGATGTGGGCGTCCCGGGCCGCGCAGCTCAGGGCCCGCTGCGCCGGGCCCGCGCCCGACGCGCAGGGGTTCGAGCCGACGGGCGACTCGAAGCGCTCGTACGTCGGCCGCCGGAGCGTCGACGGCGCGAGCGAGTAGCCCTCGGGGAACAGGATCAGGTCGGCGCCCTTGGCCGCCTGGATCGCCGCCGTGTAGACCTCGAGGTTGCACCGCACCTCGTCGTCCGTCGACCGCGCGCAGGCGGGGTCGCTCCAGCCGTAGGGGTTGTGGTGCTCGAGCACGGCGATCTTCGTCGCCTGCGCCGCCAGCAGCAGCAGTGCGGGACAGGTTCTTCTCATCGTCGTGCCCCTGCCCCATGCGCAGCCTTGTCGAATCAAGAATTCTTCAGCTCAGAAATCAATCGCTTGCGATGGGTGTTCGGGACCGCCCTCTTGCTCGCTGCGACCATTGCAGTTTCGACGGATGAGGAATGCTTGCTCGCCGCAGCTGCTGCGGAGGAGTCGTGCGGCGCGGCGACGCTTGTCGGCAACGCGTCGGACCCCCTCTTCGCGCGCGAGGGCGCGGCCCGACTCGCGGTGCCGCCGCGCGTGCGCGCGCGCGAGGCGCTGCCGGACACGCACCACGGCGGCGTGCCGGAGTTCCTGCGCGGCCCGGGCCGCGACTTCCCGGCCGTGTTCCGCCGCGCGGCGGGCCCGGCGTCCGCGGGCGCGGCGCTGCGGGCGCTCGTCGACGCGCGCGACGACGGCGCGCTCGTCGTGCGCGGCCTCGGCCTGCGCACGCCGGCGGACTTCGCCGCCGCCATGGCCGACTCGCGGCTCCCGCTCCGGGACTACGTCGGCGGCGT